AGACACTGGAATCTGCTCTGATGTCCCCACACAGCTTCTCTTCTCCAGGCTGAACAGCCCCAATTTTCATTCAGTCTCTTCTGGAGGTGTCCGCTTGGGAACCTCACTCCAAAGTCCAGGTCAAATCCCAGGGGCCCTGCCCAGCGCCGGGAGCAGGTGGGATGTCCCTGCTCTGGGATATAATCCCTAACATCCCTGGTGTCTCACAGCTTCCACGCTGTCGCAGCTCTCGGACAGTGGGCAGACACTGAGCGAGGACAGTGGGGTGGACATCGGCGAGGTGGAGCTGAGCAGCAGGGACAAGGGCCGGCAGCTGATCTCTGGGAAAAGCCGAAGCCTCCAGGAGGCCCGGAGCAGCAATGGGGCGGCAGAAGGAGCCTCCAAGCCGGTGAGGATGGGTGCCCATGGGTGCTGCTGGTGCCAGGGCTGCCCCTGCCATAGGCTGCACCCCCTCTTCTGTGCTTCCATGGGTTCTTTGTCCCCTTGTTTCATGAGCCATGGGGAAGGGAGCCAGGAGAGGGGCACTGTGGAGCTGATCTGCTCCATCCTGGGTAAATCCTTCCTAGCTCCAGCAAGAAGCTGCTTTGGACATGGCAGAGTCCCTGGCTCTAAGCGGCATCCCCATTGTCACATGAGTGAAGTGCCCTGTTGCCCAGAAGGGAAAGTGACATCAGGTATCAGCAGTAAATTGGAGGGTTCCTGGTGGTGGCGAGGTTGAGGGTGGTCAGAGCAGCTCTGCTTCTCCCCAAACCCTTCCAGACCTGCACATGGAATGTCAGGAGTCAAAGAGCAAATGCAGGAAGTGTGTCTGTCCCTCTCCTGTGGAAGCCTACCTTGGGGTGACCCTGCTTGTCATGGGACCCTGAGCAGGAAGGGAAGGGACATGGGTGCCTATGGGGTGCTGGCAAGGGCAGGTGGGAGAACAGTGGCCATGGGGAAGACTGCCCCATCCCTGGGATGGAAGGCTCCATCTCCGTCCCATCCCCTGTCAGGGCCATCCCAGGGACTGGGGATTTCATGACATCCTTATCCCCTGCCAGGGGCATCCCTGGGATTGGGGATGCCCCATCCCCAACCCATCCCCATTCCATCCACATCCCACCCACTGCTGGGGCCATCCTTGGGACTGGGGATGCTCCATCTCATCCCCATCCCATGCCTACCTCCTGGGGATTGGAGATGCTCCATCCCATCCCCTGCCGGGGCCATGCTGGGGATTCAGGGTGCTCCATCCCATCCCCTGCCTGCTGTGGGTCCTGGTCCCCTTCAGCAGCACTGCCCATCTTTCCCCAGCCGGGGCTGCTGGAGCCCACATCTTGCCTGATCCGTGTGTCCAAGAGTGCTCCGACCCTGGGCATCGCCATCGAGGGGGGAGCAAACACACGGCAGCAAAAAATCCAGGGAGGACTCGCTGCACAGCTCATCCATCTCTCTCCTCCTGGGTAGCCTCAGGAGAGCCCTTGAGCCGGGACTGGAGAATAGAGCCGTAGAATCAACAGGCTGGAAAAGACTTTTAAGCTCATCCAGTCCGACCTTTATCCCAGCAGTGCCAAGGCCACCACTAACCCCTGGCACTGAGGCCTCGGCTACCCGGTGTGTGAACACTTGCAGGGACGGTGACTCCAGCCCTGCCCTGGGCAGCCTGTTCCAATGCCTGAGCACCCTCTGGGCAAGGAATTGTTCCTCAGCTCCATCTAAACCTGCCCTGGTGCAGCTTGAGGTCGTTTCCTCTTGTCCCATCCCTTGTTCCTTGGGAGAAGGGAGGATTTTGGAGGTGTGCTTCCCCGCGATAGCATCTCCCCTGACATCAGCAGCATCATTCTGCTGTGGGGGGATTGCATTGGTGTCCCATGGAGTATACCATACCATAGAGCATGTCCTGGGAGCTGAAGATTTTCTGTGGATCCACAGGGGGTCTGGCCATCCCTGAAAGTTTGGCTTGTGCCTCCAGAGGGCTGGAAACTCTCTTTTCCTGCTCAGATAGAGGATTGGGAGAGGTGGAATGGTGGGTGATAGCTGGGGTGGATGGATAGCTGTGGATAGCAGCTTCCTCTGCTGCTTACTTGAGGCAAAACTCAAGTCATCGCCAGCAAAACAAAGCAGAGCTGCCTCCACTTTGGTTCTTCTTGGCCATTCCACTGGTGCTGCATTTCAGGGACAAGCAAAATGGGAGCCAAATTTATCCCTTCTGTCTGAAACATGAGATGTTTCTTGTTTTCCCCCCAAAACATTCCTGGGTTGAGCTGGGGTGGGTGGTGGGATTGGGATCTGACCACCTCTATCCTGCAGCGCGGGGGCTCAGCACACAACTGTGGGAAGCTGAAGGTGGGCCACGTCATCCTGGAGGTGAATGGCACGGGGCTGCGGGGCAAGGAGCACCGGGAAGCTGCCCGGATCATCGCCGAGGCCTTTAAGCTGAAGGAAAAGGACTACATTGATTTCTTGGTCACAGAATTCAACGTTGCCCTTTAGACTTTGGGATGGGGAAGCATCCCGAACAGGAGTAAGAGGCAGTGCCGAGGTGGGAAAGCTGCATTCCCACCACGCAGAGCCCTCGTCCACCGCGCCATCCTGCACGCACAGACACCCCCCAGCTTGTCTGCAAGTATCCCCTCGCTGGCTGCACACTCATGCCTGGGTAGGGCAGGCTGAGAATGGGCAGAAATCAGTGCACATCCCATAACGTCTCCATCCCTATGCTCTTGGATTGGGGGGCACTGCCCTTTGGGAATATCCTCTGGTCCTCCAATCTGGGAGTGGGGCAGGAGGACAGGGGAGGTACGGGTGTCCCCGCTGCCATGTGAGTGCCACACAAAGCACAAGGTGGGCCCGTGGCTCAGGCTCGAGGGGTTTTGGGTGGTCGCTGCTCTGTCGGGTGCTGGCCCAGGCGGGTGGCACAGCCACCGGTGGGGATGCAGAGGGAGGAACCGAAGCCTTGTAAATCGCTGGCAGAGTCGTTGTATTTCTATCGACAAAGCTTGTGCTTTAGTTTTTCAATAAATCGATCCAGATAAACAAAGGCTGGGATGTGCGGGCAGGCAGGGAATGGACAGGGTGCCTGTGGGGTGCTGGCAAGGGCAGGTGCGAGTGTGGAGGCCATAGGGAAAACTGCTCCATCCCCAGAAAGGGTCCTCCATCCCCATTCCCTGCCAGGGGCCATCCCGGGGATTGGGGGTGCTCCCATCTCATCCTCTGTCAGGGCCATCCTGGGAAATGAGGATGCTGCATCTCATCCCTGTACCCATCCCACCCCCTGCCAGGGCCATCCCAGGGACTGGAGATGCTCCATCCCATCCCAACCCATTCCCTTTCCCATTCCAACCCTCATCCCCGCCAGCGC